AGAGTTAAAATGAAGCCTGGCGTTAACGAAAGCGTATAGACGCTAACAGACACGCACACACACACGCACAGACACGAGCGAAAGTAACAGGACCAGTACGAAAGATAATTGGCCAAACCATTCTATTAAAATATACGATATTTTATTTTCATTTGTTTAAATGACTCAATAAAAGAGGTAAGATAGTGCCGGATAGTCTTCTTGACTTGGCGTCTGTTATTGCGAGACTCGTACCGAAATGACACCCAGTTCTGACGATGTGCATCATTTGATGGACGTTTTCACCCGAAACGAGGGCGGAGGTCTCGTGGACTGCGTCAACATGAAGGTCGTCTAAAAGCCAAACGGCCGAGGTACAACCCAATTAAGCCGTCCTCTTCCGGTGCGATCAACCTACGAGTCTCTTCTTCAATCACTTTCATACGAAATTAAAGTCCCCCCAACAATGATGCAAAATAAAGAGGAAATTATTTCTAGTCAAATAAAACAAATGCCACGATTTTGGCCCTTTAACTTTGACAATGTGTGTCAGGATGGGAGAGAGAAAGCCCAGCAGGTCTTCTTCGCACAATCAAGCATTCTGAAGTCATTCGGTTTCCAGTGAGGCCACTTTTACTACTACTATTACTACTACTACTACTACTACTACTGTCGCCCTACTAACAATGCATTTGTCCACAAAAATCACACCAGCCATAGGCAAGACACATGCGAAACACAATTCCCAGCCACTGCAATCCCGTCAGTCGGGCAAGTTGTGCAGTGCTATCATATACTTTCATGCAAATCGCCGATTCCTATCGCAAAATCCGGTAATTTGTAAGCATATACAAAGTGTCCTCGTACCTGAAAGTCGGTGATGGTGTGATTTGTCAAATGCAGGCCCACATTAGCCAAGCGAAGAGCGAAAAGAGACAATTTTGTTGCAGCTCTTGGACGATGCACTTTTCGGTGAACTCAGTTGATTTATTTAGATATTGTCTTCACGCGTGAATGCCATTTGCGTTGATCCCGATCTCTTAAAACATGAATTCCATCCTGGCCTCGTGGAAGAGATTGAAGTTGCGCAAGTAATTTTATCCGATTCCCTTTGGTCGCCGATTACACGATGACTCTCGACAAGTGTCTGCGAATAATCGCAAAGAATACGTAGAAAAAATGCCCTACAAATAACGAAATCAAAGCTACTCCGACATCAATCGCAAATAATACTTTCAGCACAAACATCAAATTTGGCTATTTTATATGCATACACTTTGGTCGAAATGTATGCGAAAACGCACTGATACATGCGCTAAATTATGCATATTTATTTACGTTTATCTGCTTGTATGCATGCATGCATGCATGCGAGTAGCCTCGACGCCACTTACGGCATGTTTGAAGATCTGCAGGGAATTGTGGAGGAGACCCGGAACTGGTCAAAAAGCCAATTGGACCTGTTGCCTCGTCGGGGCTGTTTTGCCATTCCTCTTCTGCCTCGACTTGCCTGCCCGCTCGACAACCGTTGGAGACAATGTTGGAGACGGCAAGAGATGCCGGCATAATCTGGTCTCCACCGGCATGGCTGGGCTGTGAACCGGTGGTGTGATGTAGCGGACTGGCCGACTGACCGGTCCAAACGGAGAAATCGCCCAGACTGGCGGTAGGTGTGGACTGGGTGGTGGGAGAGATGGGGGAGTGGAAAAAGAAGAATGGATGATGGTGGAGGAAGGAAAGAAGATAAAAGAAGAAAGGGAGTCAAGTGCAGAAAGGTTAGGGTGTTCAAGTAATTCCACGAAAGTACGTTTTGCTGCGGTCAAAGATCTTAAAAAAGGGTTTTAGTAATACAAGAGGTATTCACCCTATTCCGTTTAAGGTGATGAAGGTCTGGTAGAAGAAGAATTTTCCCACAATGATGTGAGTAGAGCTGAAGTTTTCATTGAATTTCACATAGTCTTGCTTTCCAGAAAGTTGTTCTAATCCTTAAA